TATACATTCTTACTTGTCTAAAACTATCATTAAATAACTTTACTCTTTGCCCTCGTATTGTTTGTAATTTTTTTATGATTTTAGTTAAACATTTTTATTAGACCTTTTTTAGTTTGACCTGAGATCAACATTAAAAAAAGTAAAAGTTGTGATATTTTGTTATGTCACAAATTTCTTATCTTCAAACTTAAATGGAAAAGTAAAAAAAAAAAATATTATTATTCTGTTAGGCGGGAAAATAATAAAAAACTATTTTCATAAATACAAATTTATTCCTGCTTGAATTTAATTTTACTTCCTTTTAATGTTTAACCTTGATCTTTTATTACAATTTGATCTCAATTAATAATTTTATGAAATTTCTGTTTGTTAATTTACGGCCAGTTTGTTACTTAAGTCTTTTGTTCTGTAATTAAATTTATTACTGCAATAGCGAAGTAAACTTAACACAACAAATTCCCATAATATAAAACATTATTGATTTGAGTTATACAAAAAAAAAAAAAAACGCGCAAAAGACGACAGACATATAAACAATACCGGTTCAAATTTTCACCACTGACCAACTGACTAAATTTTAAAAAAAATATAACAATTTAAAACAGTTTACGAGCTGTAAATGATTATGCAAGTTCATCATCACTGCAGTCACCTAAATTATTGGAAAAAAAAAAACAAATAAATGAATACAAGAAATATTACTTTTAACAAGTGGCAAACAACAAGTTAAAGTGGGTGTTAAAGAAAGTTTTTACAGTTATTTGAATTTCCGAAAATATTCCATATTGTATGTTAAATAGATTAGTTTAGGATGTCTATGAATATAATCACCCCTATTCTGCATTTCGATTACGTTTACGCATTCAGTTACGCTACGATCGAAAAAAGGTATTCCAATAAAAAACTGAATCGCAAGAAAAAGAAGAAGCAATTCATTTTGGTTTAAATGCTTTACGAATGTGTGTATTCTGCGTTACGATCGTACCTACGTTTTTGCAAGTTGTTGTGGCGGAAAGTCGAATCGAAATGCATAATACAAAAGTTGCCAAATGTAGAAAATTTCGATTCGAATTGAAATGCAGAATAGGGGCGAATATGTTTTAAAGAATTTTGAATTGTTCAAAAACAAAAAAAGACATTTTATCTTGATTTTGCTAAAAGTTTCGGTACCTCATTTTACGCCCATGTTTTGAAAATGTGTCGAATTTTAGAGATTCTTTAAATCTTTAAAATACATATTATTTTTATTAGCAATTTCAAATTATCCTTCTGGATATTGATGAATAATGAAACCACCTTAATCGTCCAGTTTTGAAGATTAAAATTAATAATCTCAAACCGTGAACACACTTTACTAAACTGAAGAAAGATGAAAGATGATAAAAAATGCAATAACAACAAAAACAAATAACAATTCATTGTTTACATATACATACACACTCACTCAACAACAATAACGATAAAAGTCAACAAAATAACGATAAATAAAGAAAGTGAAAAAGCACCATCGAGTAAAATCAATAACCAAAAGGCAAAAACTAAAGAGGTGATCGCAGCAAAATTTCTCGGGAGATAAAAGAGATGTATATTAAACAATACATACTTATTTACACTCATACATAATTATTATGTAACAAGATCATTTATATACAAGTTTATTGTTAAATCATTTTATTTATTTTGATCACAACAATAATATTTAACGCTCTCGATTTACATTTTTTTCCTTTAACGGAACTAAATAATCTCATTAAGTTTTTTGGAAAAAAATGATTTAATCTCTTTTAAAAATTGCATACTTTGAAGAGCAACAAGTGAACAAGTTTTTAATAAAAATTCATTAATGTGTCATGACTTTTATCTTTTTTTTTTTTTTTGTTTAATTTTAGAGACGTTAAAACATTTTACATTGCTGAAATGTTTTAAATTGTTTCATAATTGTTAATGCATGTTTATGACTTTTTTGTTGTATTTTTTTAGGGGGGCTTTGTGTGCATTGATTTGTTTTTATTAAATTATATGTATATTTTATTACAAATTCAGAAATAACTAAATATAAAATAAAACAAAATAATCAATTAATAATCAATCATTAACTATTCACAATCTGTAAAATATTGCAGTAAAAAATGTCTTTCCGTGTCTTATACATTAGAGTGCTTCAGAAAAATGAAGTTGCGAATATTGCCCGCCCCCTCTAGAATTGTTCTTTGGGTTCTTAAACTAGGTCTTGCAAAAAATTAGGCTGATAGGATAATGTTAACAAATACCGCAACGGCGCTGAAATTTTGAGATGCATTTACAAGAGGAAAAACAAACTTTTGTCAGTTTTTGCAAAAATGTTGCCATTTTGCACTTTATTGTAAAAGAATTGTAATGTACACAGAATAAGGGTACAAAATTTGTTCTATAAACCTTTGATAAATGTTTATGAATAAGGCAGTAAGCATTTAAGAAAGATATAAAACACAAAAATTGGTTTAAAAATTTAAAAGTTTTGCAAATTTCACAGGCCATTTACTTGTCTTGCAGCACTTGAATGCGAAATGTGATATTTTGGGATATATTAAAAAAAAAAACATTTTTTAAACAATATGAAATAGATATTTGTCGCAATTTTTATGAATGTCAAAAAATTCCGTTATGTATAAATTCATACAATTTATGAACTTAAAAAAAAGAAACTTCGTGGCAACATAGACGTTTTTGTCTATAGCCAAGCGGCACTTCTTTCACTAAACTCTTATAATACCACTTCTCTATTAGTCAGACAATGCATGAAAGATCATTCAAGGCTGTGTCGCCTGTCTAACATTACCCTTGTTTAGGTCCCTGTGCATACACTGAAGGAAAAATAAATATACACGCCTGGTACCAAATTAACACCAAATTTTTCAATAACAACTTTTAGACAACGGATGTTCATAAAATTTAAATTGCGACAACGAATTGTTGCAATGTTGACAACGTTGCGTGGTCAACATTAGATGTTCTTGTATATACTTGACAACGAATGTTATTGAAAAATTTGATGTCAATTTGGTAACAGGCGTGTATACTATTTTTTCCCTCTGTGTAGAGATTATCATAGAAATGGACAGACAGTTGAGCTAGCCAGGTCTACTCTGGATATTGCCGTTTTAGTAGCAACTTCGTTAGGTTTTATTAAAAGCAGTTTCCTCAAATTCTTTCTTCGAAAGGCCACACGTAAAGGGGCCAAGTTATTGTGGCCTTCTTTCAATAACGCACAAGACACCTTATAACCCGCAATAGGCGGTATACATCGAGGTTGATTGCAGTAATAACAGGACACTGTACATGCAAGTCGGCTTAGGCTCCCTTTTAATGAATACTGTCGCATATGCAAATACAGGAAAAGGAAAAGAAGGTCTTCCATTTTCTCTGTGAATGCTCTGCTCTAGCCGCTAAATGAAACAGTTTCTTTATTAGTTACTTCATATCCAACCTTGGTGAGCTATTTGGGTCTAAACTTAATGACATCCTGAGACCTAATGCTATACAATACTACATCTGATGAGTGGAGTGATTTTGACAAAACGGAGTCCCTTCGACTCTACTTGACTGTTCGCGCATTGAACTACCACGATAACCAACTAACCAATGAACTTTCGATTTATATTATTTATTACAAAATTCATTCCAGTTATGTATTTTGTTTTAGTTGTAGAAGGAATTGTATATTCGTATATCCTTTATGAAGAACATTCTTACATTAAAAAGTTGCAGCGATGTCCTTAAAAAAATAATTCCAAAGTCAAAATTCCAATCTGTAGAATGCCAATTCTATTACAATATTATGTTTAAATATGTAAGAATGTAGTCGGGCAAGGCCGAACAAATGATACCCTTCACTAGTGACTATGTTAAAAATTTGGATTATTTGTTTAATAAAGCATTCATTTTGGGTTTTACCTTAATTCAGAAATATTTTAACAATTTGTTGAAAAAGAGACATTTTTTAAAAGAGGTTATATTTGGGGCAAGGGGTTAAAATGGGCATATCCTTATAAATTTTGGTAGAGGGATTTACGTTTAAATTAAAGTTAATTATGTATAATTTCATCGTGATATTACAAAACATAAAACTATGTTTTGCCGATTTTTGGAGAGATACAAGAACATTTAACATATTTAAGAGCTTAAAAGTCCAAATCGGGAGGTACGGTTGTATGGGGACTAGGCGAAATAATGTACTGATTTTAACCATATTTAATACGCTTAGGTCAAAAGAATAGATGTGCCAAATTTCATCAAATTATATTAAAAATTTCGACACAGATGGACGGACAGACATAGCTAAATCGACTCAGAAAGTGATTCTGAGCCGATTTGTGGATATAGGACCAATATTTTTGGGGGGTTAAAAATATCAGCACAAACAGTGACGTATTGTATACTGACTGAGTGGGTGGTCATCTAGTTACGGCAACAAGTCCTTAATTTTAAAATTAAAAATGTATTAAAATATAAATGGATAAATTAAAGTAACTACAAGAAACCAAAAAAGTATAGCAATTTAATTAGTCTTTGAATAACACAATTGACATAGTTTAAATACTTGGCTTCAGTTTCAGAAATTTCAAAAATACTAATACCGTACTTATAAAAGTTCATTTCAAAAATTGCATAAAATAAACCTTAATAAATCGTACCTACATACATACATGTATCATCAGCTTAATGAGACATGTAAAATTGTTAAAATAAACAAAAATGTTTAAAACTTGCTTACGTATATGCAATTGTATTGAAAAAAAAACTAAAGCAAACAAAACAATGATAAAAATAGAAACACACGTTAACTGTCAAAATTATAAATTAATCTCTTGTTCAATGACAACAATTAGTAATTTGAGATTTGCTGCAAAACTTTTGGATGTTGTAACGAACAAGAAATTCAAAACAAATAAAATTTTACACTTATTTTTGTGTATTTTATTTATTAAATAAATTTCTTTTGAAATGAAATATGATCTTACGCAAATTTTATTTTATTTCTTCACAAATATTAAAAAAAAATATTTTTTTATTTTTAAAATCGAACATACACTTTTTTCAATTTGATTTTTTTCTTTAATTAAACTTTTAACATTATACACATACACTTTGTAAGCTGTAGCCACAATAACAACAAGATCATTTAATAACAAGTTCAAGTTTGTAGCTTAAGTCTTTCGTTTTACTTTAACTCTACGTTTGTTTTGGTATTTTTTATTATTTTACAAATATTTTCGTTATTTTTTATTTATTTATAAATATTTTTAATAACATTTTTCGCGTACGTTGTTTTATGTTTGACTGTCAACATGATACTGAGGCTGTGCAGCCGTTTGTTTAAGCGGTAAATTGCTATTTTTCTCGCTATTTTTACAGTTGTTGGTCTTTTTAGTTGAATATTTGTATGTGTGTGTGTGTTTTATTTATTTTTGCGTTAAAGTAAATCATTAACAAACAAATAACTTTATAAATATGTATTTAAAAAAATGTAAATTATTTGTATATTCATTGCTATCGCTTGCATACATTTCACACAAAAAATCCTACCAATAGAAGCACATACCAATATTAGACAAAATGTGTTTTTTTTTTAATTTTTTCAATCACTTTTACGCATGCGGTTTGTAAGTGTTTTACAGTGGTGCGTTGGGAAAAAACTTGAATTTTTCCACATTAAGCCTTCTTTTGAAACTCGAAAGTCTCTGTTGTTATTGTCTAGAAATATGAAATTAAGCATGTAGAGCCGGAGTAAATGAGTACCTATAAAAGGGGACTTTTTGGTAAATTTTGGTTAATCAAACGGCAATTGTTTGAGTTTTCTTAACATTGAACCTAGAAACAAGAAATTAAGCATGTAGGGCCTAGAGTAAGTGAGTACCTATAAAAGGGGACATTTTGGTAATTTTTCGTTCTTTAAAAAGATACTTTTTCAATTTTATATAATAATGAACCTAGCAAATTAAGCATGTTTAAGCAGGGCCCGGAGTTAATGAGAACTTATAAAAATGGCCATTTTGGTACTTTTCCGTTCTTCAAAATGTACTTTTTTAATTTTCTATAATAGTGAACTAAAACCCGGAGTTAATGACAACTTATAAAAAGCGACATTAGTACTTTTCCCTTTTTCAAAAGGTACTTTTAGAATTTTCTATAATGTTGAACCTAGAAACATAAGATTAAGCATGTAGGGCCGGGAGTAAATGGGAACTAGTGCTGTTAAAGTATTGAGTAGTGGGTATCGAGTATCGAGTATTTGCCCTATTTTGTGGGTACTCAATACTAAAAAGTAGTTACTCAATACTTTCAAACTTGTATATGGACTTAACTTATTTAAATTTAACGGCTATGATGTGAAAAAATACAGCTCTACAACTAATACAGATCATATCATTATTAGAAATGCAACTCTTAGCAATATCAAATCAATCTAAAAATAATTTAAAAACTGCAATAATAGTTAAAAAGTTACAAATATTTATTGATGTCTGGTTTAACTTTTCTTAAAAAAAAGGAAAAATTTCTCGTTTTTAATTTAAAATAAAACCGTTAAAAGTATCGAGTAGTATTGAGTACCCAAACGAAAAGTATTGAGTAGTATTGAGTAATCAAAAGTAGTAGAATATTACAGCACTAATGGGAACATATCTTTTTGTTACTTTTCCATGCTTCAGAAGTTACTTTTTGAATTTTCTATAATATTAAACCTAGAAACATAAAATTAAACAATCAGAGGAAACTCTCTTTTGATACTTTTTCGTTCTTCAACTGGTACTTTTTGGTTTTTATCCAATATTGAACCTAGAAACATACATATAATCAGACATATGTATGTATATCCTAATGGAATTAAAATCTATAAGAGTGATTTTTTGGTACTTTTTGTACTTCAACTGGTACTTTTTGAATCTATTATGATATTGAACCTTAAAAACGCAAAATTAAACACTCAGCATACTGATTGAATCAAAATTTATAAAAGGCGAGTTTCTGGTACGTTTTCGTCATTAAAGTAGTATTTTTTTGATTTTATGATTTATTGAACCTAGAATCATACATATAGTACTCTGATGATATGAAAATTTATAACAGTAAACTTTTAGGTACTTCTTCGTTCTTCAATTGGTACTTTTTTAATATTAAAGCAAGAACCTTATAAACGTGCAGTGCCCTGATTGAATGAAAATTTATAAAAGGGGATTTTCTGGTACTTTTTCGTTTTACAATAATAAAAGAAATAAAATTCACATAAAGGTGAAGGGTATATAGGATTCGGCACAGCCGAATATAGAACTCTTACTCGTTTAAGGCAGTGTTATTTTATTTATGCTTATATACAATAATCTTAGTTGTGCGTATTTCTGAAGAGATCGGAAGGTATGGGGACCGATTTTATCCATCTTCATTAGGCTTCGTCCTTGGACCGAAAATCGTGTATGGCCCAAATTTCATCAAAGTATCTGTTTAACTGCAAATCCAGCCGGACAGACGGGCGGACATGTCTTAATCGATACCAAAAGTAGTTCTGAGTCAATCAGTGGGTGTAAGACCAATATTTTGTATAAAAATCTAAACACAGTTATAACGATGAATATGACATTCTGTTTCAAAAAGTATACTAAAAATCTTAACCAAGTTTAAAAACAATATTATTCTTATTGTGCTAGGTCAGGTCAGGGTTTCAAAATATACATGATATTAATTTGCAAGGCAACAATGTTTAAACAAATTCAAGCTTTAAATTATTTGCATAAACAATTCGTTTACCATTTATTGCTTCATTTCTTGTATTTTAACAATATTTAATTATAATTTTATATTAAATTTGTTAAAAAGAAGCTTTGATTCTTTAACAATTCAAATTATTTACTAATAGAGCCACTGTGCTTAATATTTGCCACTTGCCCTGTTTGCGGTTTTTAAAAAAATGTAACCGCGTTGGAAGCAATGTAAATAAAAAAGTAATAACAACAAAATGGACAAAAAATTTAACAATGTAGTCATCAATATTTCAAACTACTATTTAGACAATAGTGTTATATTCATGTACAAAAGGTGTTAGATTTATAAATGTTTGTGTTTTGATTGACGCTGTCATACTTTACATTAAATTCCCATGAATTAAATTAATTTCTTTTTTTATAAATCTAAAAAGACAAACATTAAGTTGTTTGTATGTCTGTTTTAATAAGTAATTAAGAATTCTAATTGACTTATTTAACTTTTAGGCAATTTTTTTTTATCGAAAGTATTCTTGTTAATCTAATCGTTAGATTTGTTTTTTGTTTGTATCTTGTTTTGTGACCTTTTTTGCTCCATTTAACACTATTTATACGAGTTCATATCTTTTTTTTTATTAGCCATTATATTTGTTTTTTGTAGCTTTAAATTTGTTTATTTGTATACATACGTTTGTTTATGTGTAATTATTGCCATTTCTATGCGTTTTTGTTGGCTTCATGTGTGTTTTGGCTTATTTTAATATGACAAGTACAAATAAATTGTAAATTGTCATGGTTAGTTTTGTTATTATTTTTATTTTCACAAAATTTTGATTTAGATCAAGGATTTAATTTCTCATGATTTTTTTTTTTAGTCTCAAAAAATCATTTGGTTTAACCATAAAGTAGTCTTCTAAATATCTAGATTGTGAGCCCCTCAGAAACCAAATAATAATATTAAAACAGTTACAATTAACTCATAAACATATTTATTTTATTAATAAATATTAAAGTAGACTTACAAAAACAATTATTACTTAGTTATATTTAAAACTTATGTTGTTTTAACATTCACTAACTATTTTTTTTTAACTTGAAACCTCAATTAAAAATGTTAGTTTTTATACTAAAAAAAATTGAGTTATTATATTATTAAACATTTCCATATGTAGACGACCAAGGATGTAAATTAATAGCTTAGTTTTTCATTAAACTAATTGCTTTTGTCTGCTTAAAGTTATAAAAATAATATAATTTTATAAGTACAAACTTGAAAAATTTATTTTTTTATAAAATCTGTTGAAGTTATAGTATATAGTGAAGTTATAGTAGTACTAAGGTTAGATTGCAAAGAAAATTTCGAAAAAATCCCTCCTATCCTTTAACATTTTCAATACACAGAAAAAAATAATTCATATTTGGAATGAATTTTGAAATGAATTAAATGAATCGAACATGACTTTTTTTTCCCAAACCATTTTCATTCAGAATATTAAAAGTTCATAAAATGTATGTATGAATTTGTACATGAAAGATTTTTTGTTTTTTTTGTTCATTTTCTTTGATTTTCATTAAAAATGCAATAAATAAATAACCGTTACCTATTAATATCTTCCATTTTTTAGAAAATAATCACATATTAGCGAATTTTTATGATAAATAAATAAAAATGCTGGAAAACAAAATATGAAATAAAAAAACCAGCATATAGCTAAACATCCATTCTTCAGAAAATGTTGCATGTTACGCGCATATTTCATTTTTTTCAATCTAAAAATTAAATCTAAAAAAGAAATAAAAAATTTTCTAAAGAAAATTTCAAACATTTTTTAACAAACAGAAAAATATAAAGAAAATTTTTAATATTTTAAGTCAAGGCTTCTAGATTATGTTTAAAAATAAAAAAATTCATACATTTTAGGAACTTATTCTTAAATATTATTAACTTTAGTCAATGAAAGCAGTTCATAATATTTATGCTGAAACTTTTTTCTGTGTAGAAAAATTAACGTAACTGTAAAATTTCTTTGAATATATTGATATACATATGTACATACGTAGTTATTTAGGAAAAATTTTACAATTTGATCTAGAATGATTTCAAAGAAAACCACTTCAGATTCTTGAATAGCATCAGTGGAACTAGGGATTTTTCCATTATTTCAGGAAATCGTTCTTTAGAAAATTATTATGATTCTTAAGTAATTCCAAGGAGTTTTCTGAAAAATGAACTAAAACATTAATATTAATTTAACAAATTTTGGACAAAGAACAGCACACTAAGGTATGTTCTCTAAAGCTCACTTGGGAAGTTCTAGAGACTCCCTCGAACAAAAATTATTGATTAAAGAACTAGTTTCCGAAGTTTTCCATAAAACGGGGATTATCTTCATAATGCTTCAACAGAAACAACTGCGAAGGAAACATTTTCAAATAAAAATCAAATCTTTACCAGTGTCTCCGTTAAGACGCGCAACAGGCCCGTTGGAGGACTAGGTGTATTTCTACAGATCTGATGTAACATACATCCTCATTTCAAACTAGTTTACACGGGTCAACAAATACCACTAAAGGATTGAGCAGCTCTGTATCCGAATATGGCCTCAGTTTATCCATCACATCTGGTTTTCCTGATATCGTTTAAAAAACCGTTTTAGCCATATGTATTTTAGACGTTATAACAGCGCTAACAAAACTTTATTTATAAAAACTTTAAAATAAAGTTTTTAAGCACTTCTTTCTTCGAGATATCTTAACATTAAAGAAACTACTATAATTCCCCATATTATTTTTATTTTACGGCAAAAACTTCAAAGTATATCTCAGCAAAATTTAAACATATGTATAAGTTTCTCATAAAATAATAGTTTTTATAAATTTACTGCTGTTCTAAGTTTTGGGTTAAGATATATCGAAGAAGGCCGAAAATATAACATCTTTGTTTTAATATCGACAGATTGGACTTTAGAACGACATACAAAATTTTATAAATAAAGGTGTTTTTTCGCTGTTATAACGTCTAAAAATTGGCCAAAAATTATTTTTTTACAAACTTTATTACACGATATCTGAGTCTAGATTTGGATTCAATGCTGCTGTGTGTTATCATATATAAATGCATAGTTCAGAATGTAGTCATAGATATTATTTCCAATGGTTTAATTTTTGTAGTTTAAATAATTTTACTTTTTAAATGTACCAAAAAATGGCTCAATTTTTATTCTATTTGGAAGAACTATTCTATTTTGTTAAGGACGAATTAAAAAGTTTTACAAAATTTACGGTTATACTTTTTAAAAGACTTAACATATGAATACATATAATAATATAGGGTATAACTGTTATACACATTTAAAATGACAATTCTGTCATATTTTTCATTACTGCTTTATGCTTAATTTTCTATCTCCTGTTATAATATTTTCTATGCATACATACTTATGCATGTATTTATTTCACATGCATAATAGAAAAATACAAAAAAAATAAAAAATAAAAACAAATTCATTATCTCTTGTTTGCTTAATTAAAATTGCTTCTCACCCGTTACTTTATGTATTTAAATCATGTACAATTTTGTTTTTATATTCTTGATTTACAAAAACATTCCTTTAGAGTTAACAAAACACATGTTTATCATAAATTTGTATATCCTTTGTATATTTTTCGAGATAATTTGAATATTAATCTTACAAATGGATATAATATTATTGTATAATTAAAATTAAGCTAAAAAATGATTTAGTATGATTTATTTATTCAAAAACATGTTTAGTTAAAGAAAATGGCTTTTGATGGAACACCCTAATGTTTTCGATTTTTTATTTGTCTAGTTTTTTATTATTACATTACATTTGTTTTGTATTTGGCATACACTAAATTCTTAATTTTCTTTTAATGATACTTTCTTAATTTTCTGAACGTCTGTTACTGTATAAAAAATATTTTCAAATATGCGTAGTTAAAAAAGAACTTTTTTTAAATACCAAATAAATAAAATAATAAAAATCCATCATAAATTTTATTTAGTAAACATCTTAACAACAGGCGATCAAACTTTTTAGCAGGAGTTTTAATTTAAAATTATTTTACATATACATTAAAATAGTGAAATTGTTTGTACATTTTTAATAAATAACAAACCAACAACAATTTTAGGCAGAAGCATAATGTAAAAAAGAACAAAAATATTTTTTTTTGTTTTTTATTACATATAACGGTTAAAAATATGAACCCTACAATAAGCAATTTTAAGTTTTTTGGTACATTTTGTTTTATAGTTTGTTTGATAAATACTACATACAGAAAGTTATTTTTTATATTTCTATTAATTGCGAAAACACATTTTCTTTCTTTTTATTAAATATATTGAAAACAAAAACAAAATTGTATTTTTCTTTTTGTTTTCAATATACTTGTAAGATAGAAAATGTTCTTACGCATTTGGAGAAACCGGCAGTAAGTAAAACTTACAACTAACTAACTTACTTACTAACTAACTAACTAACTAACTAACTAACTAACTAACTAACTAACTAACTAACTAACTAACTAACTAACTAACTAACTAACTAACTAACTAACTAACTAACTAACTAACTAACTAACTAACTAACTAACTAACTAACTAACTAACTAACTAACTAACTAACTAACTAACTAACTAACTAACTAACTAACTAACTAACTAACTAACTAACTAACTAACTAACTAACTAACTAACTAACTAACTAACTAACTAACTAATTAACTAACTAACTAACTAACTAACTAACTAAATGTATAATAAAAACTACGTAAGATGTGTAAAAACTGCATAAAAATTAATTTAAATATCAGGATATCATAAGTTTTAGTAAGCAGTTAGAATATATTTAATTTATATACATAATTCCAAGTTACCAATGGTAGGGTACAAAATAACTGTTATATATTTGTTTGCAATTGTTTTACTTTTACTTTCTGCTACTTCTTACTAAATATTCTTGGCGTTTGGTATTTTTTTAAACATTTTATACAAACTGTTACACATATTCTTCACATTTGTCTGTATAGGTTTAAGTAAAAACCAATTTAAATTAAAATACACCTTACTAAGAATGATGATAGCCTGGTATTAGGGTACTTTTTTCAATTTATTTGTACATAAAATTATGCTTGCTCGAGTAGGTAATTAAAATGTTAAACATTTCAACTTGCTATTTATCATGATAGCCTAGTAGAACAACTAAATAATTAAAACAATTGTTATTAATTTGTTTTGTTTGTTCATTCTTTTATTTTGTTTCCTGCTAATATAACTGTTCACCTAATATTAATCCCATGTTTTATTATAAATTTAAATTTCACGCACTAAAAAATAAATACAAATTATTGTTATTGCTATTAAATTCTGTTCACCTGGTGTTAAATGCAAGTTTTTCGTTTTACAATACAACTGTTATACACCATTAAAATGTTATAATTTTATTTTCTTATTCTTATTAAATTTTTTGTTCGCCTGGTAATTTCTTAACATTTTGCTTGTAATGTAAACGTACTAATAAATAAAATTACGAAAAAACACACTTTGTTGCAAATTATGTTGGCCTGGTATTTTAGTTGTATTTTAATTTTTCAGAAAAAGCACGCACAAAAAACAAACAAACACAAATAAAGAAACAAATCACAAATATAATTGAATTTTTTTTATCTATGCAAAATTTTTATTAAAATGTTAAGGGAATAAATAAGTAAGTAGTATGTATTTTTACATTTAAATAATTTTCTTTTAATGGTAATATCTAAAATTATTATACGCTTAATTAAATGCATTTAAATAAGGCTATGACTTAGAGAAAAATTTAAAACTTAATATAAGTTTTAACTTATAAATACATACAAATTTTTCTATAAATAAAAAGTTTCTAAATGGGAATGACTTTTTTTCGAATGAAATGAAATATCTACTAACATATATATATATATATATATATATATATATATATATATGTTTCGAAACATAATTTATGCCCACTCATCACTTTGAGCGGCATAGTCATGTATGGTGTGAAACCGCAAGCCATTACTTTCAGGTTTATGCCAAGATGGCAAAAGAACTGTACGCCAAAAGGTGCTGTAATATTTAAAAAATATATATTATTTAATATTTATTATTTGTTTTAAATTTATTACTTACCGCCCTCTTACTACACCCAAAAATAAACGCCAATTCTTTTCTGGTCCAAAATTATAAGGATTTATATAAATCTTATTTTGCAGAAGCAGACGTTTACGTTCCGATTGATTTATATGAGCCTCAACGCTAGTTTCACCACGTGTTATTAACTTAGCATGCCAGGAACAGAGAGTACCCAATGCTACTACTACGGCCGAACATATTATCGCCATAAACCATAATGCTCTACGTTTACTGATGTTATAAATACTATTGTCATTCATAATCACATGGGCAGGTGTTGGTAAATTATGTTGAGCTGGTAATAAAACATCATCATCGTATTCATGGAGATGACTCTATATAAAAATAAATGTAAATTAGAAATATAAAGCTTTTTATAGAATTCTTAGGAAAAGTAGTACTTACATCTGGTATTATATGACCGCTTAAATTTAATTTTACTGGTTCTCCCTCTAAAGGTTCTGTTTCCGTCCAATGCTCACCATGATCTAACCATAAATAATTGTAACCAATTTCAAAGCCAAATAAAATTAAAAATAAACAACCAATTGTTGTATAGAACATGTATAAGAAAAAGTAACGATGATTGCCAAAACCAACACAATTATTAAGCCAGGCTGCAACAAAAATAAATATGTTGGGAAATGTTTACTTGTTTTATTTAATATGTGTAATAAAATTAAAATAATAAAAAAACTGGAGAAAACTTTTTATTGTTCTGTGTACTCAATTAAAACAGCAAAAATGCATTTTAAGTATCAATATATTGTTTTAATAAAAAGGTGTGTGCATATTTGGTTAAGTATTTGTTTTGTTTAATATAGTAAAAGTTGTTATGACATTGATTACTTATTCAAATAAAGTCATTTTAAATAAATATACGGAATGCGTTTTAGCAATGGGAAAGCTAAGATTTATGTTTATCTATCTTGCAAAAACTAAACGAATTATGTAGTTCCAAAAGAATTACATTTGTCACCACTTCTGTGGAAGTGGTGTTTAATGACTTCCAAGGAAGTTAATTTAATTAGATTTAAAAAAATGGAAGATGTAATGAAATTTTTATGTGCTAAAGAATGTTCTTTTCGGGTTTTCATGTTAAATGTATATAATTGTATTAATCGTATTAAATGTTACTAGCTCCGGAAAATTAGTCTAAAAAATATACAAACTAGGGAATTTTATATAGCCAGATGGAAGTTGGCTCAGAGTTTCGTCAATTTAGGGACCACAAGTCGCCATTAATTTTATTAATTTTTAATATCTCGCTTAGCGAGATGGTGGTGGAGATGGTGGGCATGGCCAACCATATGATACCCTACACCAGTGATTATGTTAAAAACATTAATTATTTTTTTATAATTATGTATTTAATTTAATTTTTATCTTAATTCAGAATTACTTTTGTTGACAAAAAAGGAATTTTATAAAAGAGGGGTTATATGGAGGCAGGGGGTTAATATGGCCCTATCCTTATACATTTTTGGTTGAGGGATTTAGGTTAGGTTAGTTATTTATGTAGAATATCATCATGATATTAGTGTTTATAAGTGAATTTTGAGCATCAAGTTATTTTCTGAAGGGGATTTTGTATAGGGGATAGGGTCAAATAAGTGCCGATCATTACGAAAATCAGCAGTAAGACTTATATATATAACATACTTATGAGCTCAAGAGCCCTATTCGGAGGGTACGGTGGTATGGGGACTATACGAAATAATGGACCGATTTTAACTACTTTCAATAGGCTTCGTATTTGGGTCAAATTAAAGTTGCCAAATTTCATCAAATTACCTTCAAAAGTGTGAACTTTAGAGTACTCAGAAGATTTACATGGATTCACAGACGAACATAGCTAAATCGATCCAGAAAGTGAGCCGATTGGTATACTTAAAGGTGGGTGTAGGACGACCAATATTTTTGGGTGTTACAAACATCAGCACAAACGCATAATGCCCACTATAGTGGCGTAGGGTATAAATAGAATTTAAAGTAAAAACAAGAAAAATACCCTACAACAGTTAACCAATTTATTGATGAAAAACTAATTTTGTAAATAAGGCTTTATTTCGGAGCTTAGTGTGCGTTACAAACATCAGCACAAACCTAATATCACAAAGTATATACTTTGTGCCAATATACCCTCCCCATTAATGTAAGAAGATACAGTTTTAATTTAATTTTCATCAAGTTTGGCAACCGAGGTGAATACCTATTCAATAAGTTATTATTGTAGTTTCGATAACTACATTTGAAGATACGGGTGTTTTTGGAATGAACTCTACAGTATTTTTTATAGTGGTCACTTTTATAATACTGTATGAATGTTTAATTAACAATAAACTGATTTTTGACAGATGCCTTGCGTTATTATGAATTGATCTTCATAAATTTGGTATAGAGATTAGAGTTAATTTAAAACTTATTTATGTCGAATTTACAGATATTAATAAGTTTATTATAAATTTTAAAAACTTAGATCGTGTTCCAGAAGGACGTTTGTATAGAGGCCAGGTGAAATCGTCGGCTGATATTCCCCATTTTCACTACCAAACAAATTTCATCAACATAAATTTTATCCCTCTAACAAATGAGGGATAAATGTTTTAAACTGACGGACATAGCTAGATTATCTTAGAACGGACTAGTCATTCCAGTTTTATTAATGTTTAGTAGTTATTGCAAAAATTTTAACATATAAACAGGCAATTTAAAAACTGTTAACTATAATGATAATAGCGGTAATATTTCGGTATTGAAACTGGTACGATTCTGTTATTGATTCCCTATTGATACCATTATGATAAAAATATTGGTACCGTTATGATAATGATATTGTACCAATATAAAGGTAAACGATATTTGAATACCGGTATTTATGCCGACTTCTTTCAGTATTAGTATTAAAAACGGTATCGGTTGCCAATTTGTTTTTTAACCTACATTTTTTAGGGCTTGTAAAAAAATATGTATATGATGCGGAACTGCTGGAAATTAAAAAAATCACTTTTAGCCGTTTTACAAGTAAACAACTTTTTAAAGAATAAACTACACTAAGAAATTTCAAAAATTATAATCTAGCCTACAAAACAATACCTTGGGTTGATTGTTTGTATTCAAGGTTAACCAGAAAACATATTGTGTACTGTAGTCGCTATAAAAGGGCTTGTTTAAAAAATAAAGGAAGATAAAAAGAAAAAGAATATTTTTAAACTTGAACTTGAATTGTTGCCTCAATACAAGGTAGTTGAAACATTTTAAAGGACTGGTATAAAAGTTCACTAAACAAGATTTCTAGGATCATTTAGTGTTGCACCATAAACAAGAAAACGTGTGGAATTTTTAACAGAAATTGAAATCTTAATATATAATAAGAATGAAGGCGTGTATAATCGGTATATTAAAAAATACCCTAATATTAATTCTACTTCTAATTTCAGATGTTTATCTTATTCATGATGCTGCTGGGATATGCTATAGCAGCCAGTGTTTTGGTGCCTTTAACAACTGTGGTACGTACGCCCGAAGATGATACGGCTGTTGTGGAAAGTTCTCGTGTTAGGGGCAATTTCGCTTATAGCACTGTTGAGGGTCATGCTTATAAAACTATAACACCTATACTAGGCCACATTGTGGCACCAGACTACTTGCAACCAATTAATTATGTTTATGTACACAATTCATAATTCAAATTAATAAAATATTTATAGAAACTTACGGCAATGGTGATCCATTTTTAGTATACATTTATTACATACAGAACAATGGTGAGTACGCGGTGGTTTGGGTGTAATGCATTTTTTGCAAACGGCTACTGCTTCGTTTAATGAAATGCCCTAGTAAAGAGGATAATAATTTTGTGAAAAATTTTAAGAAGTTGTTGATGTATTGCGGAACTTACTTCTGGAGGTTCTCCTGCCGGTGTTATTACCGCCATAACATAATGAAAAACAACATTGATAAGCAACCAGTTTCCCACTATTAATAGAAAAACAGTGGCTAATTGACTTTTTTCCCACCAAAATGGCAATCCTATCCAATAGGCAATACTAACAACAGCTGTGGTTAACAAGGCTACACCAACTACAAAAAACTGAAAAAATAAAATAATCAGTTAAATTTTTAAAGCAAAATATTAGTCATTTTCTAAATAGTTTGATAAGCAGCTACTTAAATCTCCTTAAGAAAATTTACTTACCGGCCCTAATAAATGTGTGTAGTTATCAACAATCCAAAAAACTGGTTCCATACAAACATCGGTTGCATAGGACGCATTCATGTGATGATTGTAAGTCAAGGAACGCCAACATAATTGCATATAAGACCATCTCAATTGAAAAAAATTACTAAAGAAATAAACAAAATTAATTAGTTTATGTAGAATGCTTGTTTTTCAATAATATTTAACATACACTAGGTTTTTAGAAAGTTTAGGTAATTTCCAATTAATGCGTCCCATATTACACTAAATTAGTTAGAATATAATTAAAAAGTCTTTTTTTCTATTATAAATTAATATTAATAAATTTAAGCACACATTTTATTCTAAAAAAATGATTTTACCGACAATGAAAACAATTCTGATCAGCTGCTCATGCAGCTGTTTTATTCACCATGTTATAGTGGGGAAAATGGTGTATTTAAATATGGAGTTGTCAACTATTAGTATAAATTTATAAAAAATCGTTAAATTTAATTATATGTGCCTGTGTTCTTTAACTTTCGAATAGATGCAAAATTTAAAAAATGTTAATAGTTTTGTTTAAAACAAGGGGAACGCGTATTCCCAGTTTTATTTTTAATGTGTTCAGTTTTTAAATTATTTGAATCATATTACTAAAAAGTTGAAGGGGCTTTAATTTGATTTCATTTATTTTAAAGCTATAATTTCGTTAAGTTTAAGACTTTTTATTTCAATTCTAAAACGATCTCGTTGAAAAAACGAAATCTACCTGGTTATAATTTTTTTCGATTTTGTTTGACATTACAGAAATGTTTTTAAATACATATTAGGTAAAAAAAATTTTCATAAATAGCATACGAAGATTAATTTCAATTTCGCTTATTATTCTTGATCACACGACATTCGAAAAATAATTGAAATTCTAGTCTAGTATGAACGTAATGGAACAGCAGCAAACTACATATTAGTTATACAAATTTACACACATCTTGTGAATAGGATTCTTGATATACTAATACACTGGTTTCTCGGTTTAACGAATACTCAGTTTAGCGAAATCGGTAAAATTAAATTCGGAATACCTCTTAACGGTAATTATCAGGGTTGGGGGGTAATGACTACATTTTACAATTACTTGTAATTGTAATTGAAGTTTTGACAATTACAATTCTTTGTAATTGAAGTTTTGCCAATTACAATTACTTGTAATTTTAATTGAAGAATTTCTAATTACAATTACTTGTAATTGTGAATTTTGTTCCTTATAATTACATGTAATTTGTAATTAGTAATACCTTAATGACAATTGCAAGTAATTTTAATTGGAAACTTCAGTTACAAGTAATTGTAATTGGTTATTGGTCAATTACACATTACAAGTAATTGTAATTGGAAAAATTTCAATTACAATTACAAGTATTTGTAATTGGTTATTACTCAATTACACATTACAAGTAATTCTAATTGACCATGTAATAAATTACTTTGTGTAATCATTACCCCCCATGCCTGGTAATTATAACATTACTAACGAATTTTCACTACTTAACTACAATATATCGTCATTATTGAATTGTTATAATCAGACAATTTTGTTTTGCTGGGATACACGTTCTTTGACAATTGGCAACGCCGAAAATTAAAACACAAACCAAAAGAATAAATAAGAAACAAAAACACAAAATTTTCTTCGGGGAATAAGAAAAAATTTTTTTATCTGTGGAAAATTGAATGTGAATTAATCCAACATTAAATTGAAAAAACATGGATGTAGATGAACAAAGTGAGCAACCGGGTAAGTAAATATATAAAAAAGATAAATAATTTAAAGTTTCATATTTTTGTGGTCTTTTTCAGAAGCAAATAGTTCTTCAGATGCAACAGTCAATGAAGAAGAAGTTGCGACTTCAAGCAATGGAGCGATAGCAAAACCACTAGTAAATCAATGCACTACGGGGAATGAAAAAGTTACAGCTTCCTCGAGTAATGTTGCTACAACTAGTACCGATGTCACTTTGGCGGCTCAGATAACTGAATCTGAGACAGCTTCTATGAATAATGAAGCTATAACAACAATAGAGCCAGTTGGAAATGATGTCAGCATGGTGACACAAAGGAATGAAGAACATACAGCCCCGTCGAGTAATGTAGCAACAACTACTTCTGAGACAGCTGGTGCTGATGTCATTATGGTAACACAGGAAGTTGTACAAGAAAATAACCACCGAGAAATTTCTAATGACTCGCAAGAAGAACAACCGCAAAGTATAAATGACATCGTAAGTGCCGATGTTCCAGCTGCAAACATTGATGAGGAAGAACATCAAAATGAACAACATATTGAAAATGCTGGTATTGATCCAAATTATCCTTTGGTATTGGTTAGACGTGTATCCATGCCCTCTGCCGGTGGTAGTCCCAGAGCTGAATCATTCGCAGAAAACAATAATGATGAAGCTGTTGCCATGGATGAGGAAAATGGAGCGGTAGCTGCCGCAGGAGAAGAGAACATTGTGCAAAGACGATCTCCAGCGGAAATTGTTGCAATTTTCAATTCGATATCAGCAGCTGGCAGTGATAATGACGATGATGATGAAGTTGAAGACGATGAAGATGTGGAAGACGCCTGGTCTGAAGAGGATGAAGACGAGGCCGCCTTTTTGGAAAATCCCAATTTTCGTGGTTTTGCCAATCAATTTGAAGCAATACGTAATATGATTGCCCACACCAGACGTAGTATGGCTGAGGCAGAAGCCAATTTTGGACCAATACCTCGCAATTCCTTAATGCAACGTTTTCGTCGCATACTCTTTATACTAAATAATCGTCGCAGACGTCTTATACGTTTGGGTTTGGCCACACCGGATGTGGAGCTTCCGGAAGCCGAAGCAAATGCAGAAATGGAAGCAGCAAATGAAGATACTTCTGATAATGATGACGCGGAAACCGCTGAAAGCCCTGCTAATGAGGAATCCAATAATATGACCATGGAACAAGAAGAGGAAATGAATGAAAATGCCGTGCGTTTTGATACTAATCTACCAGCTGAACACTCGTACATGGGCGCCAATATGAATCGTGTTTCTGGTGTTAACTATTTAGAAGTGGATCAGTATGTTAAACTACGCTTATTTATACATCAGCATGTTTTATTTCCGGGAGAAGTTTTGCCATTTATGGTCGATAGTTCTACAACCATAATTGAAGGTGATATTGATACACAAAACGGTATACTATTTGGTGTTTGTTTTCCTTGCCTAAGCAATAATAAATCAACAGCCAATGGGGATGCCAATGGCTCGGCAACCGATGATAAAGAGCAACTTTTATATGGAGTAACTTGTCAAATTTATGAATTGGGCGAAGATGATCGCAGCAACACATTGATAAAGTCCAGAGCCTTGCAAAGATTTGTCACTAAAGCCAGTGATTTGACGGTGTAAGTACAATTATTTATTCTAAATTTATTTTAAAATTTAGTATTAAATAATTTTGTTTAGACCCTTGGAATATATAAATGCACATCCGCGCATGAAATGCTATGGTTTCGTTAAGATTTTACCCGATATTTATTTGGCCGATCCTTTGAAATGTATTAACATGGGTTCAATGAATCGTTTTCGTGACAATACCTCCATGCAGGACATGTACAAACGTTTTCAGGCTGCCACCACACCCTGGCCAGCGTATGTCTATGAAACCCATAATATATCGAATATAATAGAAAAAGCACGTACACAATTGGCGCAACATAAAATCGATACTATGCCTACTGATCCCACACAATTATCATATTGGCTGGTGCGTAATTTACACTTACCCGAAGATATGTTAAAATCGGTATTTTTGGCTAATACAGTAAATACCAGATTGAAGCTTATTGCCAGCACATTTAAAAAGGTATGTTGTGATGAAGAGTAGTTTGAAATTTGTTTTAATTTTTTTATTTTTCATTATATTAGGAGGCAATTTTCAGTTGCCGCAATTGTGCTATCCATATAGCTGACTGCCGCGAATTGTTTGCCATGTCTAAACATGGAGTACAATCTCAATATTGCAATTCTGGTAAGAATGTTTTGTATTGATTTTCTTTTTGTATCGAAACCATTGAGGGATTTAAGATTATGCTTAAGAATACCTAGTTATTGTAGAGATCGGAATGCTGGTTATCTCTGAAAGAGATGCTGAATCTACTTAGAGTATCGCTGGTCCCTGAAAAATGCATTTTACAAGAAAACCGTATAGAACTAGTTAGGAAAGGAAAATAAAATGCAAAATAAAAATCGCTTGTGGAAAATGAAACTTGCAGACTAGCTCAATTGATGTGGTCCAATGAGTTCACTTGTCTCTCCGCCTTTGCAGAAAAATTGTTCCCTCATAAAAAGCAATTTCTCAAAGAAGATATAAAATGGAATTGAGAAAACATTTTTCTGAGAATTTGATTGACCGTTATTTATTTCTGTTTTCTTAACAAATATTTACTTAAAGTCAAAAATTAAATCATCCACTTATTTCAGCTGTATTAAATAAAAGTTTTGAAATTTTAATGTTAAATAAATTATTTGATTTCTTTTTTAGCCGGCTATATACATGAAACAAATACGCTTTACCAAGTTAATCGTCAAAATATTTTATACAGTGGTTCCCCTTCAAGTGAATTCAGTTGGTTTCCTGGGTGAGTATACTAATTTTTAACTGTATTTTCATTTTTCACAGTTATATAATTCTACTAATTTCCTTTTCAGTTATCAATGGCATATAATTGTCTGTAAAATCTGTAAACATCACTTGGGTTGGGAATTTAAAGCGGTTGAACCGAATCTTATACCCAAACAATTCTTTGGCATCTCATCGTCCAGTGTGCGCGTACGTTTGGCTCAAGAGTGTAATGATGTACCAGTGCAAAATGCCGTTTATATAAACTTCTTACGTCTCATGAATGCCGGAATGAATGAGTTGCGCGAAGCCCGAAACAATATGCCCAACATATGAAACGCTTTTAAACGAAAATGTTGGTCATGTTGTTGTAGCTGTTGTAATAATTAATAAACAAATTACAGCACACAAAATGACTGACATTTTTTCTAAAATTGAATGGAAAAATTGAGATTTGTTTTTTTTTTTAATTCTATTATTTCGTTAGTAAAGCGTTTTGTTGTTTGTCACGTAATTAAAAAATTGAAATGAAACACAAAACTTAAGGACAAATGAATTTAGAGAATGTGTGTAGAGAAAAAAATAAAAATAATATAGTTTTAAGCGTTTTCTCCCCTTTTTTACTACAATTATTGTCTAAACTAAAATATTTTTTTTAACAAAAAATACTTTTCACAAATATTAAAAGAACAAAAAATTTAATGTTTTCATTTTGAAGAATCGATTTTCTAAATATTAAAGATGTAAGATTTGGCTAGATGCCTACGATAAGGACTGGTTTTAAGTAAAAGGATTTGTAATTGTAACCAAAACATTTATTAAAACTATAAAAATTTTATTAAATATATGTGGAATTTAAACAATTATAAACTAACATAATATATACAATAATTATTATCAAAAGAAATTAATAAAGAAAAAAAAAAATAAATTAACAAAAAAAAAATATGTGTATGTAAGTAATTTTATGTGTAAACATCACTGATGCAGTGATATGCATCTCTCGTGTTAATAATCAATGAATTAAAATTATATTTATTCCAACATCAAAGGTTTTGTGGCACCCTTTCTAACTTTAATATTACAAATGAAACATGCCACCGACTCATCACGTTCATCAATCAATGATACTTCCACGGCTACCGAAATTTCCGGATAAAGTGAATCAATGTAAAAGTTAAATTTATAAACCACATCTTCTGTTTCATAAATAGGACAGATGGCCTCATACATTAAATTCGAACAAACATCGGCTACTTCATTGGGTAATTCGTAGGGAACGGTAATGCCCATTGTGGTGGCATGTACTTTGGCGGTCAAGTTGCGTGTATGATCTCTAGCTTGAATTTGAAAAATCAACAATTTTAATAAGCTTTAGCGGAAAAATGTTAAATACACTGAAACTTACTGCCCAAAAAGTGCACATTCATAACGGCTGTAGTGCCTTTAATAACAATACATGGTGGCTCATCACAACCTTCTATGTCAACACTTAAAGGAAACGGCTCTCCATTTTTACCTAAGAAGGGAATATTTTTTAAATAAAAAATTTATGTTTGTTGGAATATCAAATATAATCCAGGTCTTTACATATTGCACTTAAGAAATTGAAAACTTGAAATTAAAATTAAACTTTTGCCGAAGGTTTATGAAGGTTTGCATAATAAATTTTCTGTTTCGATTGCATGATTAATATTCCGATATATTTGCTTTAATACTTTTCAGATTTTAAGATTTTAAATGAAATTTTCTTTTAAAAAAATTTCTAATTGATAAACATGAATCAGTTCATAACTTTTATGTATTTTAAGAAAATGAATTTTAACACATTAGTAAGTCAATATCATGCTTGATAAACTAATTTAAGATCACGATTAACATTTTGTTCATTTAATATAATACTGACATAACTCTAAATTTCTGTTTTTTTTTGCAAAATGAAATCTTTTATATAGTTTTATCTATTTTCAAAAAAATGTCTATTATTTTCGTTGCTATAGTATTTTCAAGTCTCACGTTTCAAAATTTAGTTTAAATTTAGATGAGAAACTTAATCGCCCCTATTCTGCATTTCGATTACGTTTACGCATTCAGTTACGTTACGATCGAAAAAAGGTATTCCAACAAAAAACCGAATCGTAAGAAAAAGAAGAAGCATTTCCATTTCGTTTCAATGCTTTACGATTAAGTGAATTCTGCATTAAGATCAAAGCTACGTTTTTTCAAGTTGGTTTTTATGTGGCGGAGAGTCAAATCGAAATACAGAATACCAAAGTTGCCAAACGGAGAAAATTTCGATTCGAATTGAAATGCGGAATAGGGGTGAATAACCTCTAGTTTTATGTAAATATGTATATCTAATTTAATTATTCAGATCTGATAATAATATATCACATATATGATAATATGTGTAAAAGTTATTCAATCATTTTTCTCGAAACTATAATTTTAGAGTTTTAACAGTTTTGTAGTACTTAAATCCACACTTTGATACTCTTTTTCAAGACACTTTATATCGAAGTAAGAATATATAAAAACTCACATTTTTTAACATTTGTAGCACTGGAGAAAGCTAATAATGAAACTAAAATAATAGCAAAAAATTTAAACATTTTAATTTAAAATAAAATTTTATTATAACGCTTCCTTATTGAACTTTTTTAATAGACTAATTTTAATCAAACTAAAGCGCAATGATTTAAGTTTTATACTAAAATGAAAGATTAACAAATAACTTTTCGTAAACCCCATAATAATCGATTCAAACTTATCGTTTATTTAGACATAAAAAATATAAGCTAAAACATCTAGTTGGTGAAAAAAGGAAGAACAATTTTTGGCGTCATACATCGCAGGTGTTCCGAAAATGTACATTTGTTTGAAAGAACAAAAAGTAATACTTTTTTTGTGATAAGATAGTAAAGGCTACTATACAAAAAATACAAGTAATATTAGAAAATATTGCCTAATTTATAAAAGAGAAGACTAACTCGGAATTTTCGATTTCTTTAACACAGTGAATGTGACTAATCTTTCCATTTAATCTTAATCAACACTTTCTTCTTATCTTTGAATATTTGAATTTTATTAACATTTTACACAATAAACATGTAATAAAACTAAAGTTAATATAAAACTCACGAAATAAAGTTTCTAATAAAACTAAATTTTTTGAGTTATAACATTTTCCATATGAATGTAGAAACTTAAAAAAAAAAAAACATAATCAATGGATTACATACATTGTATAAATCTAATCTAAAAAATATAGCTGTTCTAGATTAAATAAATATTCAAGTGTTTGGAAAATAATTCTTATACATTTTTATAAAACTACTTATTTTTTAATTACAAATTAATTCATCTTGCAGAATTTTAATGTTATTTAACAAAAAGAAAAAAGCCATTAATTTAGGGTGTATTTGACATTTCATAATGTTACAGCAAAACCCAAACTGAAAGAAATTCCCAATTAATTAACTACGCATTTACTGGAACAGTCCAAAGTCAGTTTTGAATTATGCAAATTATAAATTTGTTCTGAAAACTAGAAATTTTTTGAGTTAGAACTTTTTGAACATAGTGTCTCGATATGTTTTCCTTTGATTCATATGATAATAATTATTGTCATCTGTACAAGATTTTTTTGTCCTAACAATTTTTTTAGATTAAGTACTCAAAATAGTACTTTTTAATAGTAATTTTAATAACCATCACTATATAATTACTTTTAAAGCTCCAAACGAATGGTATACTTTTTGGCAAATCTTGAAATACAAATTTCTGAATAGTTCAGTTTCACGCCACAATCACCATTAAACAAATAAAATTATTGTGTTTTACTTGGAATATAAATTGTTAAACAAATTTTGAATGTTCTCTCTCCAAATTTTATTGAACAACTAATTTAAACTTCAACTAAATTAAATATATTTAGTAAAGAATACATATTATTGTATTATCGAAAATTTTTAACAGAAAGTTAACTTAACAATACTTATGAAATGTAAAAAAAAAAATGTTGCAGGTGTTCGACTTTAAGGGGAAATCCACTATATTATATGCATATAGTTGTTTATATTTAACCAAAAAAGTGGGTGTATATTGATTTTGTCATTGCGTTTGTATCACATTGAAATATTGGCTATAAACTTTACAAAGAATATACATATTTTCTGGATCCTTATTAGTTTCTAGGTCGATTTAGCCATGTCCTTCTGTTTGCCTGTTCAAAGCACTATGAGGCACAAACAGAAGGGGCTAGGGGTCTTGAGAATTTCCATGAATATTCTTTATTAATAAAACTTGTTTGGCATTAATAGTGAACCATATCGGCTCACGATTTCTCCTCCAGAATATGGTTTAAAAAATTAGTTGATAATCGGTTCGTCGGATTAAGTGTAATTAACTATGATTTAAAACTGCGACACCATCAAACGGATAGTTTCAAAACTTAACTGAATCACTCCTCAGGACCCCTTGAATAAATATTTGAAATTTTGTCCCATTGCAGTAGTCCCCATGCTGTAGTTCTTAAGTTTAACGATTACGAACCAACATTACTCATTTATTAATTTAGATAGATAGATAGATAGATAGATAGATAGATAGATAGATAGATAGATAGATAGATAGATAGATAGATAGATAGATATATAGATAGATAGATAGATAGATAGATAGATAGATAGATATAGATAGATAGATAGATAGATAGATAGATAGATAGATAGATAGATAGATAGATAGATAGATAGATAGATAGATAGATAGATAGATAGATAGAATAGATAGATAGATAGATAGATAGATAGATAGATAGATAGATAGATAGATAGATAGATAGATAGATAGATAGATAGATAGATAGATAGATAGATAGATAGATAGATAGATAGATAGATAGATAGATAGATAGATAGAAAGATAAATAGATAGATAGATAGATAGATAGATAGATAGATAGATATATATATAGATAGATAGATAGATAGATAGATAGATAGATAGATAGATAGATAGATAGATAGATAGATAGATAGATAGATAGATAGATATATAGATAGATAGATAGATAGATAGATAGATAGATAGATAGATAGATAGATAGATAGATAGATAGATAGATAGATAGATAGATAGATAGATAGATAGATAGATAGATAGATAGATAGATAGATAGATAGATAGATAGATAGATAGATAGATAGATAGATAGATAGATAGATAGATAGATAGATAGATAAGATAGATAGATAAGATAGAAAGAATGAATGAAAGATAGGTGTATGGATTATTGTATATTGAATTTTTGTTTTAGATGATGTATGATTTCTTAGATTATAATTCAAAAAGGACTTTTAGATGGTATACAAATTTTTTTCACTTCAGGACATGATAACTCAAAGCTCAGATGTGATGGATAAATTCTAAGGTTAGATTCGAAGTCAGTGCAGCTCGATATTTCAAAAATCTGATGTGATGGAGAAATTCTGATTCGGATTTAGCGATGCTCTTTCCATTTGAAAAGAACCCTTTGGTCTCTGAGTTTCGACATTTTTTGAAATTAAGAATACATTTTAGTTAGTTACTTTCCATATTTTGACGTTATTTGAGAAGTAACAACAGATTTGGGGGTTTAATATAAAAATAGATTTTGTATAGATTTTGGAAATGAGTTCAGATTTTCGTAATTTTTTACGAAAAAATAATCGGTCACAGATTTTCGTTATTTTTCTCAATTAAAATCGACTTAAGCTTTTCGATAGAAAATAAGTCTGACCATTATTTTCTGACGTTGCAAACACCATATATTTCAAATAAAGTTATGTAGGGTGTACAAATGATAATAAAACATTTGTTATAATTGGTGATTGCCTTTAATGAATAGAGATTTGTAGTTTCTAATAAAAAATAAATCACTTCAAACTAAAAACTTATTGAAATACTATTGATAAAGATAGTAACGAAACACCTGGGAAAATATGGCAAAATAAATTCCACCTGTTTGATGACTAATTTACGAAATAGAACTTTTCAGACAATAATGATAGTTAAATGGGCTTCGTTTCTTATAATGTGTTGCCCTTGATATTTTTGTAAAAGAAACATCAAATTATAACTTCCTTTAAATTTACATCAACAAAACTTTTTATTTAGAAACATTACAAATTTCCAGCTAAGAATTTAATTTTTTTAAGATTGATTAATTAGTTGGTCCCTTTTTAACTTTAATATCACAAATGAAACAGGCGATAGACTCATCATTTTCGTCATTCAATGATACTTCAACAGCGACCGCAATTTCAGGATAGTAATTGTCAACATAGAAATTGAATTTATAAACAACATCTTCATCCTCACTAATGGGACAAGTAGCGCCATCCAAGAGATTTGAACAAACATCAGCTACATCCTCGGGTAATTCATAGGGAACGGTAATACCCAAAGCGGTAGCACGAACTTGGGCGGTCAAAGAACGTATGTTGTTTTTGGCTAATAGAAGAATAATTTATTATTACATTTTAAAAACTATTTAATTCCATTGAAAAAGGACTTACTGCCCACAAAATGTACATCCATGACAGCTGTTGAGCCTTTGATAACATCACAAGGTGGTTGTGAACATCCTTCCACTTCAACACTTAAGGGAAAGGGTTGACCATTTTTGCCTAAATTGTAGCAACAATAAAGAATATATATTCCTAAATATGATTTAAAGTTTAACTTACATTTTTTAACATTGGTAGCAGCAGAAAGGGCCAATAATAAGACGAAAATAATAGCCGAAAACTTGAACATTTTAAAGTTATTACTCTTTTGGTTAATGGAAATGTTTTCTATTAGACTTTTCTAATTTAACTTATTTAACATTAACTTTGGTTGCAACTATTTATACCAGTTGGAAAGAGACATTATAATAATGTTTTCAATAGATTTTATTTTGGAAACTTTAATTTACTATAACGATAATATTATTTCAAAGAATTTTTTAAGATATATTGGCTACTTACTATATGTATGCAATATTTAAGCCTCTTATCTTTAGATTATTAATATTTTCAAGTACTTGAAGAACGTTCTTAAATTAATTGATCATGTTATCGATTGAAACACTTAAATATTTTGTGTTAAAAGTAACACCTGTTGAATGAAAATAAAATAATCGAAATTTTTTCCTCTAGACTAGACGTCTGTATTCTACACTATAATATGCTTTATATTGTGGACTATATGTATATTGATCTATGTATATACTAAACAACACACTGCACTGTTAACTAAAACACTGCTCAATAGTTTTAACTTTACACTCCGCTATAGTCTAGACTTTACACTCCTCTACATTCTAGAATCTTGACTATACATTGTTCTATAGTCTAGACGATACACTGCTCTATCATCTAGACTATACACTGCTCTAAAGTCTAGATTATAACTGCTCTATAGTTTCTACACAATTCTACATTCTAGACTATACACGGCTCCATAGTTCTAAGTATACATATCCCTATAGTTCTAAGTAGACGCTGCTCTGTAGACTAGACTATTCACTGTTGTATAGACTAGAATATACACTGTTCTATAGTCTACACTATACACTGCCCTATAGTCTAGACTTTACACTCCTCTATATTCTTAGCTATACACTGTTCTCTAGTCCAGACTATACATTGCTTTATATTCTAGACCAGCGGTTCCCACCGTTTTTTACTTCGCGGACCCCTTGAGGAATTTATTTAATTTCACGGACCCCCATACATATTTTGATATCTTATTGTTATAAATAACACTGTGATACAAAAGTGAAGAAAAATAAAATGCAGGCGTTCTCATATACCAATTCTATTTCGTTATAGTCCATAGAGTACGAATATATTTTTAGTTTTCCCCTATCACTTCGTTAACTTACTTTTTAAGAGCAAAAGATGCGAAAAAGAGCCATTTTTGAAGTTTTAAATTTGAAAAATCATAAGTTTAGTAGTTTTCATCCGATTTTCAAATCCGATATTTTTTTTAATGATACAAGTGTCTTTTAATCCAAAAAAAGAAATCCAAAATTTATGGTCAAATGTCTGAGTTACGGTCGTTTAAGTAAAAAAACTCACACTTTTTTAAAAAATTTTCATTTTCATCATGCTCTACTTTGACCATGAGGCAGTGAGTTCATCTTTTATTACTTTCCTGAAGAATCACATAAAGGAAGGTTGCTAAAACTTGTTATTTCATAAAAATCTATGAAAAACTGGATGATTTATGCCAATTTTTCTAATAGCATGTTTCTCGAATTTTTGGTTTTCTCTATACAAATTAATTTTTGTATAAAAATGTTTATAAACATTTTTTAAACTTGTTACAAAGAAAACCAGAAACATGAACGTTTTTGTATGGAAGAAATATGCTATATTTTTATAAAACTTAGCACAACTCATAACCTTTTTCATCGATTATCATAAATTGACCATCATTGGAAACCCAACTTAATGTGCCTTTTTTCAAATGTAATAAAAGCTAAAGTTACTGCTTCATGGCCGACGTAGAGCAGTATGAAAATTAAAAATTGTGAAAAAAGTGTGAGTTTTTTTACTTAAATGGCCGTAACCAAGACATTAATCATAAATTTTGGATTTATTTTTTTGGGTTTAAAGACAACACTTGTATCTTTAAAACAAAATATCCAATTTGAAAATCGGTTGCAAACTATATTTTACATATATTTTTTTAAAGTTAAAACTTCAAAAATAGCTCTTTTTCACAACTTTTGCTCTTAAAAAGGAACTAAACGAAGTGATCGGGAAAAATTAAAAATAAATTCCTACTCTATGGACTATAACGAAATGGAATTGGTATATGAGAACCCCTGCATTTTTTTGCTGCATCACTGTGTAATTGTTCGTCCGAAAATTGTCTTAGTCCTGGTCCATAAACCCTATAAAATATTCCCGTACATTGAGAACATTTAGTATTTCGGAGATGTTTTCAATTTCATGGTTTTAAATATAGAATGACTTCTAACATGATGTTTAATTTTATGATCGTGAGAGCTTTCATGTTCATTTCTCGTCAAGGTAGAGAAAAGGTTTCTTTAACAAGTATTGTCGACATGTGCTTAAAGAGTCATGTTTCTAAATTTTTTTGCGATTGCATAGGAGTGAGCTGAGTATGTAAGCTAAGTTTTCGGGAAAATATGTGAAAGTTAGACTTCTTCGATGTTGTTGCGGAATGCGTTACCCACATAAAATATGACCTGAACTCTTTGCGAATGTACTGTGAATTTGGATCTTAAATTTGAATTTTAAAATACCTACGAATTATTTTACTGCGTGGTTTTGACTATTTACGCAAAACGCTATGAATTTTCTGATGTTGATTTAATAATATTGGACAACAAAATGAAGTTAAAATCTGTGTATCACGTTGGAATGGAATATTTATATTTAAATTTAACTAGATTAACACTTTTGCTTACAATTTAAAAAAATATTATGAAATGTGACCTAACTTCATATTCCGGGATACCAGTATCAGTATTTAATTCTAAGGCAAATCATTATCCGTCTGCTACAAAAACATTTATTTCGATACATATATATTTATAAAAATTACAAATCACGTAATACTTTACTTTGTAAAAGTGAAACAATAAATTTGTAGGGCCTAGCTTCATCCTGATAAACGACCGAAACAATAAAATTCAAAGAGTCACCAACAAATCTGGGATTATTGAATAAAAATTGTGTATTTTAGTATTTATGAAAAATTTGGAGATATTTTTAATATTTTGTAACATATAGAGAATATTTTTTATTCATGATTTTTTTCGTTCGTCTTCGCGGACCCCCTAGGATTTTGCTACGGACCACTAGGGGTCCGCGGACCCCCTTTTGGGAACCGTTGGTCTAGACTATACGCTGATCTATATTCTAGACTATACACTGCTCTATAGTCTAGACTATGCACTGCTCTATATTCAAGACTATACATTGTTCTATAATTTAGATTAAACACTGCTCTAAAATCTATACACTATACACTGCTATATAGTAGTCAAAACTGTTGTTTATAAAATAAAATTTAAATTCTCACTACCCAGTTAAAGTTTCCTTTAGTCTGATTTACAGGAAAATGTATTGTAACTTTTTTGTCAACTCGGCAACACAGACAAATACTGTTAAATAATATTAAATAACTGTAATAAAATCTATTGCCTACCTTTAGGATTAGATGAACGGAAATAACATAGAATTGTTTACTTTAAAGAGGGGGGGAAAAACAATAAGTATTTTTTTAAATCACCACACGTATGATCGATGTAAAGTTATAATTAAATAAATATTATGTATACGTAGTTTGTTTTATAAAAATTAGTACATGTTTTGCTACAAATTGGAATATAAATTCCTACGATATAAATATATTGTAAATCCTAATCAAAGAAATTTAAATAGGGAAAAAGTGACGTTCAAACTTCATATCAAATAGTCTTCGATAGTAATCATTAATTTATAGTAATCGGTAGATTAATAGTTAAGTACAAAAATACAGTGAGAGAAAGTGAAAAATCTTTATTTATTAAAGTAATTGACGTTCTAAGAATTATAAGTTTTTCTTACAAAATTAATGAATTAAGGCCCTTAAATGTTGAATTTTTCTTTCTGGAGGTGTTAAAAATATAATTTTGAATATTCTTAAATGTTCAAAAAAGAATTGTAAATGTTACAATTTGTATATTTTTACAGTGTACGACAATGGCAAGGCCGTTTACGTGCAAAAATATCTATAAAATGGCAACAGGTGTTAAAAAAAATTCAATTCTTATCACATATCAAAATCAATTATAAACTTTTAACTATTTTTATGATTTTATTAATAACTGAGGTGACTGACTAAACAAATTTTTGTTGCAATTTGAAAATGTTTATCGCAAATTTCTGCAGCAATCATTAGCACTTAAAAGGTTTAGTATTCTCTAATCTAAGTATAAACAAATTTAAATAATATGGTATAGTTGGGGTTAATAATGTCTTATCAAAATGTACTGAAAAAATAAAATATACAAATAAATTAATCAAAATCTCTGCAAATAGTTAGAAATTAATTACTTTGAACTTGTTTTTTGACGGGTGAATAATAATAATTATTAAAAATAAATTGTTTTTAAATAACTATTCACTGTTCTATAGTCTTGAATATAAACTGCTTTATAGTCTAGACTATGCACTGCTCAATGATCTAGATTATACACTGTTCTCAGGCGGATAGAAAAAATCAACTGATCATCATTTTGACCATCCCTAGAATTAATAATATTTATAATTGAAAATTTCTCAGTTTTAAGCTTTAAATCATACCAATCATTTTCTCATCCTTATGTATGTATATTAAATGTATTCGTAATGCCAACACAAGCTTTTAGGAAAAACATTAAAAATGTAAATGTTTTGGGGATTTTACAAAAAGGTATGAACAAACAACAAAAAACAACATTATGAAATAATGTCGTATGTATATGAATATGAATATAAAACAGAGTGATGGAACAAAAGGGGAGAAACAGTCCTAAAGGGAAACTTTTCGAAAGTCCAGGATCATATATGTAACTCAATAGATTAAATTCGCCATAAATTAACAACAAATATGTAAATCGTTGTACTTCCTTCCGGACCAAGTTTTTATCCGTTGCGAAAATTATTTTTAATACACATAGTTCGTATTATAAACTGGTTATCATCGGCATTGTCGAATTAAAATCAAAATAATATTTAATACTAGAAAATACAATAAGACGTCTCTGTTTTTTATCCATGAGTTACAAACATCAAATGTATGGGTTTTCGGTATGTTGCAAGCAAAGGGATGTTGGAAGTACATACATAGTACATTCATACATACATACATACATACATAAGTAAATGTTAAAGTACATGTGTCATTTGATGTTTAATGTTCTGGTATTAAGACTTTGTTGCTTTTAATAAGAGAAGGCTTATATGGAATATTTAAAGAGATACATTTTATTATAAAAAATAAAAGAAAAAACTAATAATTTTAAAAACTTCATTTATAAAAATCACAACAAAAAGTTAAGTAAAACATAAAAACTTTAATGTTATTTTAATCTTTAGTTTATGGTAGTGCTATTTAACCAATTCAATTCATAAATAGATTTTGAATTACCAGATGAGCCCTTCTTCACTTTAATATCACACTTGAAACAGGTTACTATATCTTCATCTTGATCCACTATATAAATTTCAACATTTACACTAATTTCCGGATAAGTGCTGGCTATGGGGAATAAAAAGAGGTAGGTAACATCCTCGGTATCATAGAGAGGACAATAGGCCTCATACATGAGATTAGAACAGACATCGCGTACATCTTCTGGCAGCTCATAGGGTACAGTTATGCCCAAAGTTTTTGCCTTAACCAAAGTGGTGGCACTGGTGATAAATTTATCTAAAATTATAAAGAAATTAAGTAAATTGTCTAAATTTTTTAAGAACAACTTACAGGCTACTAAATCGATTTCAAATTCCACACTGGTACCTTTGACAATATCGCAAGGTGGTATATCACAGCCCTTGACACGCACATCTAAGGGAAAGGGTTTGTTGTCACCAC